TGAACCAGCCTTTAATTAGGTGACAGATCATCATGCTGAAGTGAGCATTTCCCTAATGGTTAATCTTACTGTGCTACAAAGCATAAGAGTTATTATATGTAATAAATACTTTATTGTTCTTGTACGATAGTGATTAAAATATCCGGAGCAAAGATGAGTTGGGAGGGAGGAAGAAGCCTCTGAATTGTATGCTGTTCTGCTGTGAGTGGGATAGGAAGAAAGAACCTTTTACTTTGATGGTGTTGTTTGGTTTTGTTTGGTTGGTTGGTTTTTGTGTCTGTTTTTTTTTTGTTGTTGTTGTTATTTTGCTTTATTTATTTATTTAATTAGAAGCAGAATTGCTTTATTTGGAATGTATTTGACTCTGTGAAGCAGTGAAAAATGCTAAACTTTTGAATACTTGAAGGGACAGTCTCTCCTAAATATAGATCATTGGCAAGTGATAAGCTGATTGATTCAGCAGCCTTTCTTTTACTTAACAGGATTTTTCACACTCAGTCAAAGTCATTGGCAGGCCTGGTGGGATTATGGCTGAGTCAGAAGGGGTGCAGTAAGTTTAAGCTGCTGGAAGAGTATACCACTATTTTGTGACAAGGCATGTGTGCAGTCCTCAGAAGCTTTGTGTATGGTTCCATGGTCTTTCTATTTGAGACTATATCCTGAGCATTCATATTACTCAGAAGAGCAAAAGTCTTTACATGATGTACCTGTGTAGCATGCATTTATGAGGCTTGGGTCTGTGTAGCATCTGGGATAGGTTAGCCTGCCAGGTTTCTGCATGACTTTTTTAGACATGTTTATAGTGGATAGCGTTATTAAGCTTTGTACAATTCTTTGCTTTCCTCATATTCTGAGAGGCTAGCCACATACACTTATATGCATGCTACTGCGTGGAATTTGTTTCCTCCCTTGAGAATTTGACATCGGCAATGTTAGGAAGAATAAGCAAAGGCAGTGACTTCATTGCTTCTTTGAAGGCTGATGCAGATAACTGCATTAAAGCGAAGGGGTGCAGTAAGTTTAAGCTGCTGGAAGAGTATACCACTATTTTGTGACAAGGCATGTGTGCAGTCCTCAGAAGCTTTGTGTATGGTTCCATGGTCTTTCTATTTGAGACTATATCCTGAGCATTCATATTACTCAGAAGAGCAAAAGTCTTTACATGATGTACCTGTGTAGCATGCATTTATGAGGCTTGGGTCTGTGTAGCATCTGGGATAGGTTAGCCTGCCAGGTTTCTGCATGACTTTTTTAGACATGTTTATAGTGGATAGCGTTATTAAGCTTTGTACAATTCTTTGCTTTCCTCATATTCTGAGAGGCTAGCCACATACACTTATATGCATGCTACTGCGTGGAATTTGTTTCCTCCCTTGAGAATTTGACATCGGCAATGTTAGGAAGAATAAGCAAAGGCAGTGACTTCATTGCTTCTTTGAAGGCTGATGCAGATAACTGCATTAAAGCATTCATTCCAGAATGAGAGAGTGGTACAGATAGCAGTTCTGATCTTCTGTCTCCAGAGACATGAATTCATATCCTGTTTTAGATCACATGTGGTAATGAGTTAAGTGATCTAATCTTAGCAGTTACTTGTTCACCTTTCTAAAACATTATGCAGTTGGCAGCTTTTGTTTGGGAGGAGAGGGATTTCTAAAGCTGGTTTGAAGTTTTTTGATTGATCTGCTTTGCAAAACTTGTGCAGTAGTTGTTGATAGGAGCCTATCTCAATATCAGAGTGTTGAGTCTTCATTTGAAAAACCAATCTACCAAACCAGCCATCATCTTACACCTGTCAGGCTCCCTTTGCCCTCACTGTGTGAGAATTGGGCCAGTTACAGTCTCATGGCCTGAAAAGATAATTTATTTAGGGATTATAAATAAAACACGAATTACAGTTGATATAGAAGATGAATTGATCTAAATAAATATATTTTTTGTTAAGATTAGGCATGTTTGAAGACTATGAAGTCGGCTTGACTGCAAATGCTGAGATCTTGTTCCTTGGAAATAGAGCAAATTAAAGTATATGGCTTACTTATTATGGAAATAGTTTAGATGCCATTTCTGCACTATATATCTGTCCCTTTGTAAGTTACTTGAATGTGTCTGTTCACCAAATTGTCTGTGGTGGCATAAACCATTGCTGGAGAAAATTTCATGCTTTGTATTGATTTTTTTCTTTCCCCCAACCATCCTGTTGGACTTACTTGAGATGTTATTCTTGCTGTATTCTAGTAGGCTGGGAGTTCAATTCTGTGTTAGATTGATGAAAATACAGAGTATCACCAGTTCTGGTAGCATTACTTTACGTCTCCATTGAGAAAAACAGAAGAGAGTTTTCAGTTTTCAAAAATGGAACACTAAATATAAAAATGCTGTATTTTAATGAAGACAACAATAAGCAAGTAAGCTTACCTTCTTGCTTCCATTTCTTGTCAATTTTATAGCTTCCAAAGAAGGGAAAGGAATGAGATCTTTGTTTTTATATTTCTTTTGGCTCTTTCCTTTCCTGCCAGCAGAGTATTTGATAGTCAGAGCCATGGTATTGCTATATGGCTTTTAGGAGTAAGGGCATGCATACTAGTGTATGTGAAACTGGTATAGTCTGCCAGCAGATTTCAACCATTTCAGTATGCTGTAGTACAAGTACTTTGTGGTTCTCCTCAAGTGCTTGTAATATTGCAGTTTGTAATTTCATTCTGTGCCAACCAATGAGGTACAGATTACTTGGTTCTTTTGCGTGGCTTACGTTTAGGATAAATTAGCCTTTTGGCATATGGTTGTTGATGAACTGCCATCTTCCTTCAATATGCTGTCCATTGCTAGACAACCAGACAGTTCATCCTGTCTCTGAGTTATTTCTTTATCTTTGTGTTGTGCTGCACTGAACAACAAGCAAGGATGCTAACAAGATGTGAAATGACATTCTCAATCTTTCTAGCCTTGCTTAATTACACGAATCCTCCATTGTAAACTGAGTGCTTAATCACTTACCTTGTAAGCTAGTTAGATATTCATTTTAATTCCTTGCACATTTCCATTTTTTAGAACCTGGACTGGTGCTGTTTGATGATGTTTTTGATAAAGTAGCCTAGTTAGTGGCCATA